TCTTATATTTACTGGAATGCCAAATAATTCTACAAAAGGAATCTACTTACACAAGAATTTTTATTTTTGGATTTTGCTTCCAGGAAGAGAAATATGTTTTCTAGGTCTGGTATGGACACCGTTTTGGACGGTAAAACCTCTAAAATGAGTGGTTTTATCAATTCCTATTCTCTAGTTTATCAATACCTAGACTCTAGTTATTTTAATACGAATGGCCAACAAAATGATTATGAAAAACATGTAATAATTTGTGTCTAATGAGTAAAGAGTAACAGTACATAAAAAGACAACTAATAATAAACAAGTACTCATGTATTGATTCAAATTCAAACTACAAAAAATAAATATTTGATAAGAATGTAGAAACATTCTGAAACCCATATAGTTATGTAAACTAAAGATTACCCAATTTACTATTTGTTTATATACATACCGGTTCTCCATGCCAGAAAGGAGGGTATCCAGAGAACCGGATTGAAAAACGTCGTCTTAAGTCTGGAGCATAAAATGAGTTAAACACTATTCCATGAGATTCTGGATATAGACCCTGGAAACAAAAAATGTAAATGTTGAAGAACATTATTTTTTAATGCTTTTAAAAAAGTTGAAAAATCTCTTCAGGTTGCATGTAGGAAATTAACTATAATTTTCTTAGTGTGGTTTTGGATATGGTTAGGGGCACCTAACAAGTCCTTTCATGTTTAAATTATTTGCATAATTTATGAAAACCATCCAATGTATAATAATTCGTGCACATGCATGATGTCACTATTATGTCACTGGAAATATCTTGCTTGATTCCCAAGTTCCCAATCGGAGTTAATTTGTCAGATTATTGATATTTTATGATTTCTGGTTGGATTTGCCAAGTATTAAGGAAGAATACATATCTGCATGATTCATGTATGTTTTGGCGTCGACAGGAAACAATCAATAATGCATATCAATTTTGGTTTGTGAAAACATCACAGCCCCACTGGAGCCGGGCTTATCGAAAGCTCTGCAAATAATAAATCTACAAACCAAAATTGATCTTTTTCACCATGCATGCAAAACTCAAGAAACTTATCAATAATGTATATTTCTAACAAACAATTACATACTGTTACGGCAGTGTAATGATTAGGAAATGTTTTTGTAGGAAACTGTGATAACATAAACTTCGCTCGTACGCCATTATTTCCTAAAAGAAAGAAACTTAGTTACTTTTATTTTCCCGGCAGAGAGCGTTTGTAAACAGACGATATGAATCAAGTCAAGTGATTTCTGATGTTGCCTGTATTTTGATTGACAACTGACAAAATAAGAAACACCAATGATGGAACACCATGCATGCAGGGATCTGGGTCCAGAGGATTTCTGACGTCAGGCGTGAAATTTTGAAAGATCTTTATACATTACAAAGCAATTTATTAATTTGTCTTCGTCTTCGAAAGCGCACGATTACGTCCTCTATAGGTGCACTGTGACATGAGAAAAACCCAAAAATTTTCATGTCAGACGTAGTTGCTCGATGATGATCTTTTGAACAGACGTTTTGTAAATCATCGTTGTACGAATACCTATTCGTTGCAAATTTCATCTTGATATACGTGCAACTATTCCTCTGTGAGTTAAGGGGGCTTGAATTGTTTTAATTATTGACGTAAGGATTTGATATACGATGAGTATAATGTGAGTTTAGATACCACCTACCCAAGGGCGAAACTTGAGGGGGGTATGGGGTGTGTGTGCCCCCCTCAAAAAAAAAAATTACAATAAAATTAAATAAATGAATTATGAATACAATTTTAATTGATAGAATGTAGAGTTATTAAGTAACTTATTACAGCTAGCAAACAATAATTAGCAGTTCGTGAGTTCAATTATACACGCAGCTTAGTGATGTATTGTATTAGCGCTGGGCATCATTGGTTTTGGCAGGGCAATTCTGCCAGGCACCCCCAAATTAAAAGGGGCTAGTTTCGCCCCTGCACCTACCAAACTTCGTGATATTTGGTGTCAGACCGCGCGTTAAATAATCTGGACGAAATCCATCAGCGGAAATAAGTATAACTGGACTATAAAATAGAAAAGGTAGAATATATTATGTTTATCAAGTTTCAGAAATATTTTAGTGGCTTTAGTATAGGCATGTACTGTTGAAGGTAATTACGAAATTTCATTGAAAAACAGATTTAGCGTTTTTATAAGTACATTTCACATACATGCAGGTGTTGTATAGTCCATGAAAACTGCTCAAAAGAATACAGTGAAATCTTATATTCAGATGAAATATAATATACACATGGTCATGGAAACGTAAGATGTGTATAAAACTGACTCCGCATAAAGTCACTTACTATCTACAATCTGTGACAAAATACGTGGACCGGTTAGGCTGAGATTGTTTAACATAAATCCGCCTTCCCCTTTTTCAATGTTGTTAGACTAAAATTGACATTATATTTGAAGTAGTTTTGTGTTGTATTGCGTTGCTGATACCTTTCCCAGCACACACAGCAACATTGAAATGGGAGAGGAGGGTTACATGTTATTTTTGCAATTGTTTACTAAAATAACCTTCCAATCTTAGTGTCCCACCTTTCAATGTTTGTAGTTTCTGTTGGTTGCTCTGTTGTAGTTTCTGTTGGTTTCTCGGTTGTAGTTTCTGTTGGTTTCTCTGTTGTAGTTTCTGTTGGTTTCTCGGTTGTAGTTTCTGTTAGTTTCTTGGCTAAAATGGAGATATTGTGTTTAAATATTAAGGTTATTTGCTATGAGGTAATTACTGAAAACAATTAACAAAAATAGATAAGATTTTGCCGTTGTCTGTTCAAATAGCTTTTATCCACTTTTTATATATCCACCCAAGCATTTGGAAATTTGAAAAAGTCGAAATTTTACAAATATCACGCGTACATGATCTATACAATTAAGGGAATGCTATTGGCTACCTTAATTAAGTTACGTCACGTGTGACGTAATTTCGTGTGTTAAATCATGTTATTATATAAATATAGATAAAACAAAACCTCATCTTATAACATCTTTGTATGATTGCAGATGTTTGTAACCTGACTATGCTTCGTAAAAATCCATCCATTTACAATCTTTGACCAGGAGCCAGTTGTTCAAAGCTAGTTTAGAGTTAACCCTGGGTTAAAATTTAACCTGCTGTTTTAGTTTATGTATTTCTGCACATTGAGCCCTGTTGAAGGTCATTCTGCCGTAAAAGTGGAAAGTTACTCGATAAAATGTCATATGCATGGTAGTTTTACTCACGTGCACTATCATCATCTCGACTCAGTATCACACCAAGAGAAACTGCCACAATAATTAACAAAACTACTACAACCTTAAGAAAAAGTAAAAATGATCTTAAAATGTGAATATACTTCAAATCATCCCAAAAATAATTTGTCTTCTTGATTGTCTAAGCCACCAATTACAGCACATACATACAGGCTATCTCCCAAAAATGACCCCACTAGCTGCCTGTGTTTTGTCTTGATAGTTTCAGAGTTTTATACTTGATAAAAATTATAAATATCTGTCATATCATTTTAGTATTTTGATATTTTATTGTCAAAAGAACCAACCATTTATCGTTTGTCTTCGAGGTGTTGCATCAATATACGTATACCGTTACACCTTGTCAATATATGATATATATTATATATACATATATATATATATATATATATATATACGACAAGAACGCCATTCAACCTAATACGCATGATCTCTGCATGTCACAGATTTAAATCAGCGCAAAGGCCTATAGGCAATTATGTCCCAAGCTCACTACCAGCAACTGCGGACAGCTGTTTCGCCCGTTTGGGGCTCGTCAGCGCAGTGTAGCTGATAGTGAGCTTTTCATCCGAAAAGTATTTATACAACCAACAATGAGATGATGGATGTGGGACACATAAATTATATATGCGACAAGAACGCCATTCAACCTAATACGCATGATCTCTGCATGTCACAGATTTAAATCAGCGCAAAGGCCTATAGGCAATTGTGCCCCATGCAAGCTCACTACCAGCAACTGCGGACAGCTGTTTCGCCCTTTTGGGGCTCGTCAGCGCAGTGTAGCTGATAGTGAGCTTTTCATCCGAAAAGTATTTATACAACCAACAATGAGATGACAGGCCAAGAAAATGAAAACTGAGTTTTTCTGTTTTCCCACATATTAAATTCAAATATTCAGACAAGGTGGAATGTAATTGGTATCGCCACCCTAAAGGTACGTTTACACACGATTAATCGGGCCCTGATCGGGCCGATTCAACTATAATTAAATGATATTTGAAAAATACGCTGTCAACTTCATCTGACGACATCGTCAACTGACAACATTCGTCATTAACATTCCAGGCAAAACTTGAATTTTAATCATTGACATTGTGTGTAAATGTAGCTTATGTGTTTCGGAAGGCAAACGGTTGGTTTTTTTATGAATCAAAGCAATACTCCAATAGATGAAAATATTATGACTGTGTGTCCAGCTGCACAATATGATCAGGGCCTCCTAGAGAAATTCGGGGCCTGGGGCAAATTTTTAATTCGGGGCACCTATTTTTTCCTAAAAAATGTTGGCGAGCGGGGGGAGGGTAAAAACTTTTTCCTGACATTTCCAAACTGAAAAATTCTCAAAAAAATTTTCCGGACAACTAACTGTTAGAACGCGGGTAAATCACATTAAGGTCTAAAAATTTTTCTCATACCAATACTTTTTTAATACAAATCATTTTTTTAATTACACCGTTTGTGGCCGCATTTAACTGGGGACCAGGTGCAAATTGCCCACC